ATTCATTAGAAACCATCCTTGTTTCTCTGAAGGGAGAGAATACGACTTGGGACCTCAAATAAGTCCAATTTGAAGTTTTTTCTCTTGATGAAAGATTCCATGTTAATCAGGACCTCTAAGAAATGAAAATCTCATTATGCTTGTCCATCATGTAATCATACACAACTTCTGTTTTAAAAACGTTTTTTTACGTTTGAAGAGAACAATCCAATGCCCGTTTTTCTCACTTACCACATTTCCATTTAAAAAGAAATTCATTACTTATACGTGATAAAAACTAGTGGGATACATATTAAAGTTTGCCGAGTGGCATTCGGATTGGATTATTGTGTCATTAAATAGCAAAGACACGAGAAAAAATGTTCCACACATTGTATTACTTATTGAAAAAGTAACTTTAATATTTTCCTTATTTTTCTCTACTAGAAAATAATAGCTTAATTAAATGTCAGCATCATAAGGATAGAATTATGTACGTAATATTAAAATTCCCACAGCTTCTCCCAAGTTTGATCAAGGGATCATAGCGAGTGTTGATGAAACAAAAGACTGTTTTCACTTGATGCATTGAGGCGTAAAGACTAGAGAGCCAAATAAAGGAATACAGACAAAATAAGGATTCATTTCACAATCAAGAAACTGTATTGTGCATACAAATGCAAAATGTTCAGTACCATAATATATACAAATAAAAGGCATGCCCTCTCCTTCCGTTTTCTATCGACCCTAACTCCACTCATAATTCACTAAGGACGCGTTTCAATGGGTATTTCTATTCTTACCAACCAATTATCTGAAGGATACTTACCGTCCAAACAATACAATAACATTTTATATTTAATGGAATAGAATTTCGGAGAAAATATCAACAGTCAAAGCTACGTAAATAAAACAGTAATGACTTGTATGGTGTGAAACTTTTGTGTTGCGTATTTTCAGAACCTTGATTGACATGTTTGAGCAGTATATGTTAATACATTCGTACAAAACATGTTTATGGAAAAATGAAAATTATTTCCTCTTGTTGAATAAAGCAATATGAGGTCAGAATAGTGTTTTCACATTTATGACTTGCCCTGTTAAACATATCTTAAAGTGAAAAGGAGGGGGTTCAAAGCCTCCAAGAAACGCACGGTGAAACGCACAAAACAAAATATCAGAAGTTTATTATATTTATAACGATGCTGAAAGGTAAGCATATTTATTTACTATTCACTAAATGAGGTGGTGTACAAACTAAGCTCTTCCAAACTATTTGAAAGTGATAGTATATTTTATGTGCAATTTTAATACATTGTAATATAGGCAAAACTGAATATAATATAGGCAAAATGATTATGATCGTTCTGTAACTTTAGAATGTAAAAAATAAGAAACTTATATTACCCAGAAAATTACAAAATTGAAAATAACAGAAATGCGTATAAATGCGAAATAAACAAATGCCGTTCTAAGTGAGTGAAAACGGATACAAAGCTTGTTATGTGTTGGATGTATGAGAATGACCAGGACTAACATATTTACTTTTTCGCCAGACTACGAACATACGTAGTAAAGAAAAGGTATTGTAATATTGCAGCAAAAATCACTGAAAATCTTTTTCACTAAAAATCTCGTATTGAGAAGTCCTGTTATCGAAAAAGAAATCAATCGTGTTCATATATGTAGGAGATTACTTCAAATACATTGTGTAGTCAGAATTCACATGTTTAACATTGCTATACAAGTATGCTTGTATCTTGTTAGGGATACTTTTTTCTATTACTTTGTTTAGGTACTGATTTTCTAAACAGATGTAAATGTTAGTTAATCTCTTTCCAGGTAGTCGCTAATGACTATAAATATCGATACGACTTCAAATTAAAAAATAATTCACCTTTTGTGGGCCTTTGATACCGAAAACAGACGGCAAAATGTCTGTTTGTCCGTTCGTCCGTCTTCCCGTGCGTGTGCGTGTGTCGTCAACGCTAGCTTTGGATCTGTTACGAAGAATTTCTCCAAAATTGATATTTTCCAATCGATCTGCCCGAGTTGGAAGCCCTGCGAGTAAGAAGCGAATATTTTGATTTCTGCGGCACTTTACATGAACCCGGGAAATTTTCGGTGAACTATCTTCATTTTCGAAAATTGCAAAATTTAACATTGTCATAATACAATATTGATGATCTATTTTTCTTAATCAAAATTTGTTCTAAAAACATTGAACTTTTACTTCAGGCAGATCTTATTTTTCTCAGGTCAATAATATGCGCATATTTTTGAGTAGCATCCTCTTGCAATTATTCAGATGACTCAGAATAAATGTTAAAAACTTCATGAACACATACAGGGATCGAAAATGATAACATTTTGAAATGAGATGGGAAATTTTATATACTGATGTTACTTATGTGACGTTAAACCCTGAACTCGAAATTCACATGTGTTTGGCTGGTCACATTCTGACGCAAAGGTATTGCATGGGCCTTTGCTGAACATCGACATATGTAGAGTTGAACAAATCAAATGTTATTTGTGTAAATTGGTTAAATAAAATTTACTAACACATGTTTATTGGCAAAATATGGTCATCTTCAACGCATATACATGTTCCAGAACTTTCTAACATCATTAATTTGCGTTGTTAATTTTTTTGGCAATCTTCAATGTATACAGATTTCGCTGAAAATATGGCCAGCACCACTTTTTACTGACCTTTGATACAGACAAGAAGAAAAGATAACGAATAAATTTGGATCCTTTTTGAGAAACTAATTGCTTAAAAATCGTCTATATTTCATGCAAAAACTGCTCGTTTGTTTTAAGTAAACTGTACGTGACTTTATTTCACGATACGTGTTTCATGAACATATTTTATTAAGAAAAAATATCTACCTTCAATATTACAGTTTTTGGAAGACGCCATAAACATTTTGATCTTCTGCAATTTTCGAAGAATAAAGATTTTCAATGATAATAAAACCTGCAATATTTTTAAGCGTCCTTTACGCAATCCATTGGCAATGCTTAATGAAAAAAATGGATCCATTTTTGAGCCAATTTGGAAACAAAATTTTGAAAATGTAGTCCAGGGTTCATGTACAGTACTTTAAAAATTATAATATCTTATCAGTTTCTAAGTCACAGGGCCTCAAGTTCTATCAGATAATCAGAGAATACAAATTTTCGAGAAAATGGTCTGTCGAATTTTCGGTATCAAGGACAAGGATTCTGACTACCCAGCGAGTTTGATGAAATAATTATCTACATCTAGGAACAAGATCTATCAACTTTTTTTTTTGCAAGGGCCTGGTAACATGCGTTTTTCTGTCAAAAAATTACAGTTTTTCTGCGCACGATTACAATATTTTCTCTTTTTACGAACCAAGGCGAAAAAGAAAAACATATTAGGTGTACTAGAAGTGGATTTACACCTCACGAAGTATAGCAGACGATTGGCGTTGTTGGGTCGGCAAAGGCTGCTCTGCGTATCTGCCACATTCTCGCAGTTTAAGTTCCTTTAGGTAATGCCAACAAATAAAAACGTGACCTGTAGTGTGAAGGGCTCGGTTCTTGCCCGAAACGTAAGTTTCTCCTTATTTCTCACAGCCAAGAATGGCTATGCGATATTCGTGATAGGTATTCGGGGAATGCATTCTAATATAAAACGTGTAGATTGGAGAATGGTAAGTAGATTTTTTGTTGCTGAAATAATATGAGCTTATATTATGTTTTGAACAAATACTATCTATATTACTTATTTTCAATACGCACAGATATTGAAAAAATATATGCAGCCTTTAGCCATGTGAGAGATGTCAATTATGATGCTATTAAATAACCAGGAACTATCCAGAAAAAATATAAAAACAATGAAACAGATACAATGATTTTACTGATACGTGCATACATTTGATTGTGTTATTCCGCATATACTCCCCCTGTCCGTACGAACTGAATTATCATACTCAGTTCGTCACTGCTTACGTCTCAGCTAACGTCATGAGACAACAAGGTTTCAAGAGAGAGACCGCCCGCCATTAAATATTTTCTCTTCACGTGTTGCGATATGCTAATATAACAACTTTGCATGTCACTACATGCCAACTTTTATACCATTTATATACTACACTTCGTTACTGCAGTATTTGTGAAGACCGTTTTGTTAAAATATTTAATTAACCTGACTGTTACGGGAGTGCTTTATCTGTTGATTTTGAGTAGGGTGCGTGCTACTTTTTGGAAAATCACTTTATGTAGTTTTGTTCAGGAGAGTGTTTTCTACTGTTTGCCTCTAGTTGTTATAAATGTTCCATTCCTCATGTCGAATGACATCAAATTGATGAAAGTTAACCTATTTACAGTATAAAAAGAATACGGTATAAAATAACAGTATAAACAATATTTATAAGTATTTAGAGGTATTTTCTGACATAGCTATTTACATTATGTATCAATAATGGAATGTTTTGAAATTATTAATTTGATGTTCTATGTAAATGTTGAATGGCCAGGTAAGATATTTACGATTCCAGTTGAAGAAAAATGACACAGTATTATTTGCAATAAATGTAGGATTTTGTACTTAAGAATTATTAGTAAAATTGAACACTGAATATCGTTTCCCAATATGTCTAACTCTGTTTTTCGAACTGCTAGTACTAAATGTCTGAAACATTTAGGTACATTTTATTGAAATCATATTAGAGAATACAAATCTAGTATAAAAGTATGTTATTTTATTGCCACTAAGCAACAATTTTATGATATCATAGGTGAGTGTTGATCATTTATGTGTTAACAAAAATGTATGTATATAAATATTCATTACATTCTGAGAATATTGTGCTCACTACACAGATAAACTATCAGTGCCTATTTGTAGAAAGTTAATATATTGCAGTGCTTAACGTGAGCATGGTAATGAAATACAAATCAACAAGCAAGTCATTCAATTCAGGCAAAGGCTATCTACTGATCATACCTCGTGATTTTGTGCTACAGAGTAAATAATACATTACCCATCACGGATAGGTGAGCAGTGTGCTCCACCGTGCCTGCTCGGTTCCCAACAACACATGTGTAGTTGCCGCTATGACTAGACGTTACACTATCTATTGTCAGAATACTAGAAACATGGTCATATTCTTTAATGTTAATCCAGTCATCATCGGCAGGTCCCAAAGGCCGCGAATCTTTACGCCATGTGATGTTAAAGGGGCGATCTCCTTTACTTGTTGCACACATGAGTTGTGTGCGCATTCCCTCAGTTACATCAGCCTCAAAATTAAAGGGAGAGATCCGAGGAGGGACTGAAAGATTCAAAATGAACACAGACCCCAAATGGTGTCAAAATCATTACTGGTGGCGTTGTCAGGGGCTTTACAAGTTTATGTTTAGTGCTTATGGATAATGGTATTATTTGAAGTTAACCCCAATCAAGTGCAGTAAAATAGAAAAAAAAATCATATGATACAATTTACAAGCTTTGTAATAGCTTACAACACTCACAGGATGTTCCTTCACAGCATAGGATGTCATACCAAAACTACAAATATGCTTCTCAAATTGGTTACATATGGATTTCCAAATATGAAACACTAAGCTATCACACTTTCTTGGCAGTACATTGTTTCAATGTTGTAAATGGAAATGATAATTGTGCAGACATGAAATGTGTCAAAAACGTATTGGTGCAGTGTGTTCATTTGAGAAGCATAGTTGTATTTTGTGGAAGGAATTTTGTAAAGCCATAAAATGCTTACCCTCGTGTTAATGGAGCCAGACTCTGGGAGTGAGAGAGAGTGAGAAAGAAGCAGACACACAAATACACAGTAGGAAGGAAATAGAGAGAGTCAGAGTGGGGCTGGGCCGTGCTATGGCGTGTGTTTTACCATTCACTTGGAGTTGTGCTGTGTGTGTGACGGTGGCGGCATCGTTTGCCACATGGCACGTGTAATTGCCACTGTGTGCCCACGTGATGCTGCCTATGGTTAGCGCACTGGTGAAATCATCATACTGTCTGATGTTTATGTCCATGGGCGGAATGTGGCTGTGGCTGTGACTTGTGCTTGTGGATGTGGAAATGCTAGTTGATGTAGGACTGCCTTGGTTGTCTTTGAGCCATGTGAAGCTGAGGGGTAAGTCTCCAGTCACCACCACACACTGTACGCTTGTTCGATCTCCTACGTTTAAATCGCGGGCAAAACTGAAAGGCGTGATTTTGGGTGGCACTGAAAGATAGAATTCAAAGTGGTGTCATTATGTTCTGGAAAATAGTAACCATTCAACTCTTCAAGAAATAAAAAAGAGTAGTTTATTCAAGGAAAAGTTATTAATTAAATTTACTAGTGCAACTGGTGTGTTTCACAAAACAACTGGTGCCAAGGACACTTATTTCTGTACAACTGTTATTTGCTCAGTCTATTTCATTGGACTAATATAAAAAAATGATCAGTGTTTGTCCTGTAGTCTAATGGAATGGAATAGGATAGGGTGTTTTATGACTGAGTCTTGTTATCAATGTGACCAAATATTTGCAATGGCTCTCAATAATTGGAATGTGCATTGTTATGAAAGATGTATATTAACACTGAAGCAAATATTTTAATTTGGCATTTTGAGTTAAACGAGTGCACTCTTTCAGTTATTCATTGAAACTGAATATTCAATTTTTAAGTTAAAAACAATAAATTATTGAAAACCAATGAGCAAATTTGTTTTTAACTTCTCATTTTTAGTTTAAAAGAATGAGTAAGAAAGAACAAACACAGTTGACAGTCCTTCAGTTCATTGACACTGTAATATATTTAATTTGTCAAATATATCTTTGGTGTACCAGTCTAAATTTATTGAAATTTAATATTTTAAATTGGTATGGTATTAGTGAACCAGTAATAATGACCAGTATAATGAGTTAAAACAATTGTAAACAGTCACAAATAAACTTTGGAGAATTCACTGCTTGAATATAGAAATATACAGTTTAAGGAAATAGATATGTAATTAAAAACTACATTTCATAATTGTATATATTAAAACATATTTAAGTAATAAGATAGCAGAGCAGTGAATTCTGCAAAATCAAAAATACAGTGCTCTGTGAAAAATATCTTAACATGAGAAGAAACAGAACAATTAATTTGAAAACAAATAAGACCTGAAATATCTTGGTGTGAGATTTAAAATTTAGAAGTAATGTAATTGATGCAGGTACAAAAACTGTTGCAGAATATGTTAAAATAATATTCACATAGAAATAATAATTATCCACTGTCCTGTGGTAGATTCATTTCCAAAATCTTGTTCTGTATCTAGTTAGTATTAGTAAATGATCTGGTAAAGAGGTACTTGAAATATATATTTTAAGCAATAACATTAATTCCAAGGGGTCATTGTATACCTCATACATGTAAGAGTAAATAAAACATACAAATTTACTTTAAAATTTGGAAGTTCTTTCTCATTATGTTTGAAAGTTATTAAAAATTAATAAAATCAATCTGAGAACTATGGTTTTACTGTAATATAATTTTCAAAATAATTATTGTAATCTTCTTTAATAGAGAGAAGTTTTTGAAGCAAGGGTTAATTTTTATTATACTTACAATTAATATATTTTGATTCATATACTCACCTAAAACACGAACATCAACAGATTGCTGTGAAGTATTATTCTGCTTATTTCGTGCTACACAGGTATAAGAACCTTGATCACTTTCTCTTTGAACATTTTCAACGATTAGGGTACTATTTATTACTCGCTGTCGAATATTTGTGGGAAGTCGAACACCATCTGCATACACCATTAATTTTAGATTCATGAATTTATGAGACAGTATTGAAATAAATTATTTTATTACACTTGTATTAAAATTTTTCAAAGTATTGAATTCACGAACGGGATTATCTGAGTTTTCGCACTCAACAATTTTAAATCAATGAAATTATGTCCTGTGAATTAAGTATAACGTAATAAAAATTATTGTGACTGTTATAAAAAATGAGACAACAAAACAATTGTAGAAAACTTCAAAAAGCAACAGAAGAACAAGTTTCAGAAGCAGTAAATTAGTAAAACAATCTAATATATTGAATAAATGGAGTCTAAGGCAATATGGGATATTTTTTTTCCAAGGGTAAAATATAGCAATCTGTGAATAAGTAAGTTATTCTGCGACCAAAATTTCTGAGAATATGTAAAAAATTACAAATTGGGTGTTTAAAGATAAGAATAATCTATTAATACGCATATATTTTACTGTAATAAATATCATGTTTGTGGGAAGATAATTTAACAAACCTTCACACTTCAATTATTTTAAACTACCTCAGAATCACTACTGTACCACAGAACTGATCAGTACTATAATTCACTATCAGAACTATACTACAGACATGACCTATGAACAAATGCTCTGGGTTGTTTGTTATTTCTATTGAATATTGTGGGTAGCATGTGTAACCTGAAAATTTGAAGCATGTCAATGGAGATGCTGAGAAATATATTCACTTATGATTGTCATTCTACATGTTATATTGCAAAATAATAAACATAAATTCAACTTTTTCTATATTTGTGAAAAGTTGAGGAAAAGGGAATGACAGCCACCATTCTCGAGTACAAACTGACAAGACACACGTCATTTGAATGTATATTTACTTTGACAAAAAATTGGGTCATATTCCTAAACGTACCCCATGAACGAATCCACTCTGTACGCTGCGAGATCGAAGAACCTAAGCGAAGAATAAAATATTTTGTCATAAAATACTTGGAAATAATGCTTAGTGTTATTTTATATCAATGTTATTTTATATCAATTACAGAGGCCAGAGCCTGGTCGCCAAATTTGACATTAGTAGCGATGCGTCCTCTGGAACCTAAAGGTGTTTGCATAATTCTTAGAACAATTTGCCTGCGTAGTGAGTCAATTCGTACACGTGGGGTAAAATAAGAGATAGGAGTCTAAAAATTTGAAGTTTAAAATCATATCATCAGTCTTATTTTGTGACAAAGAGAAGTGAGGTTGTATACAAAACTCTGTTGCCTCAAGAACATTTCGTATGATATCAAAAATTTATAGAATGGAGGTGACAAATATAAAATTATCTTAACTGATCTTGGGACAAATTTATGGTTATTTTTAATATTGAACGTTAACCTTTATTATTAAGTTAAGAAAAAAGCAATCACGCTAATTTAAAAAAAATAATATAAATATTTTTACAAACAACATTTTTACATTCAAAAAAGAATACCTTTCTCCCAGAAAACAGTGTCAATTGGATAACCTGCCACTGGACACTTTATAATTAGTTCTTTACCAGCAACTGCTGGAATAGGTGACATAGCACGAACATAAGGTAATCCTGAAAAAGGAAATAAGCCCACAAACTCATATTAACATATTCACAACAAACACAATGGTTATCTGAGAGTGATTCTAAAAGGTATGTAACATTTTCACCAGGATGTAGCCTAAAGAAAGTTAATGATGAATGCTTTTGTCTGTCTGCTTTACTTTTCGAAATCCAAGGCATTGTACTACGCAAAAATGACGAACTTTGTCACTGAATTTCGAAAGGAAACAAGAGTCATATGCATCCCTAGTGAGTTGTACCTAGCGCCATCATCCATCTCTATTACATATTTCCAGTTCACCCAGAAATTGAAACAAAACTAAGCTGCCTTTGCCCATGTGAAAGGTATCTATAATTACGTCTATGATACATAGGAACTCGGAGAAAATGCAATAACGTAAATAATACTTATGTTCAATGCTTGCAGAAATAGAAAGAAATCTAGACAGGCTCCGGCATGTAAGAGGTGTCTAAAGTTTTGTCAGATATCCGTGAACCGGGATAAACACAAAAGCAATAAAATACAATAGTTTAAATTTTGTCTGCAAAATTGCAAATATTTTATTACGTTAAGCCCCATTAAACCGGATTCGTTAGCCGAATTGCTTAACTACGCTCCCTGAATTCACGGAAGTTTAACAACTCAAGACACCGCGAATTCCTGGATTAGTGACCATCTGGGAACATATGTTTCTGACGGCGCCGAGGCCCTAGACGAAAGGATAAAAGGCAATGACTGGCTGCGACGTTTCGAGGCAAAAGACGAAGTTTAATGGAGGAGTACTCCTTATATACATACGATCAATGCCCAAAAATGATTGAGAGAAGTAGTTGCGAAATAGACGCCACAGAATTTTAAAATAGTTATTACGACTATTCTCATACTGTGCGTACCGACTGAATTTTCCTAATCAGTGCATCACTGCTTACGACGGACGACTTGCTTCATCTAGCCTCCGGGAAGAGGTAGCCCACCACGAAATATTGTTTGTATTGAAATTTTGTAATTTTTTGGACAAATGTGTACCGCTTAACAGCGACCTCGCATTTAAAAAAATATTTAAAAAAATTAAATTTAAATTAAATTTTTTTAATGTTTGCTTTGGAACTTGGAAAGAAGACCTCGCATGTAACCTTGAATATTGCATCCCTCTGTTACGCATTGCAGTTACAGAGAAAATAGGTAATTAAAGGTGACATCACACGTCATGATAGACGCATCATTCAAACTTGGGGAGTGAAGCAAATAGTGAAAAAAATGACTTTTCCTCTCCAAAAACGGCTATTGATTATAACCATATTGGCCGTTACATATCTTTTAGGAACACATGCATAAAGAATGTTTCAGTCTTTTTTATTACCATAAATATTCAATCTGGCACTATGTGTTGCTTTCCCAGCACGATTTTCTGCAACACATTCATATTCTCCTGAATCTTCTGGTTTCACAGATGAAATGTTCACATGGCTTATCACATCACCAAACAATGTCACATATTGGCCAATCATGAACCTACGATACAAATATAATCACATTAATCATTATATATTGACATAATTTCATAAAATAATACAAAACTAGAAAGTCATACGAAGTAAGATTCCTACAAATTAAAGTAAAAAGTAGAAAAATAATAAAAAATACTGTGAGGTCACATTGCTTAGGAATGCAAGTATGAATAATTTGGCATTATGGACAATGTATTTATATTAATTCTCAATATTTCCGTAATAAATTATTATGTCATATTTTTGAACTTAAGATAATTTTTTAATTTTTCCGTGAAATATTAAGAAATTATTGTTCTAAATATTGACTAGTGTAATTATGTTTAAACCAATTAGATTTTCACAAATTTCAATGGTCATCACAATCAGTCAAATGAGTATAATTTTCATAAGATGATTACAAAAATTTCAAGAACATTGTACTTTAATACTAGAAATTCTTTAAATTGTAATAATGAAATATTATTTAAACTGACTAATAAACAGACTTATGATATTATCCTGGAGCTATAGGACAGTCAAATTATCACATATGAAAATTAAATATGTAAAGAAAAAATTAAATAAGAAGACGCACCTCTCATTCTGTGGCAGATTGAATCCGTCAAGAGTCCATGATATTTGTGGAGTGGGATTTCCAGATGCACTACATTTTAGTGATACTGACGGTCCTGGTTGCATTGTCTGCTCTATAAATTTGTAAGCTAGCTGGGGATACACCTCTGCGAAGCAAAAAACAATTTGCACCGCCGAATATTATTTGAAATTAAGAATATTAATTGATAACTCAAAAAGTAGTTACTTTAATTATCACACGAAAATCACAAAATAATTTCCAGAACCACAGCAACTTGCGGAAAATTTTATTAGTAGGAAGACCTTCATTATTGATGTAGGTTCCGACATTGATGTAGGTTCAAGTAAAATTATTCTGCGATCCGCGAAGTATGAAAACCGCATCATGAGTGCAACATTTGAACCTAGAATGATGGAAAGTATGTGATCTAGCTATACTTTTCACGTTCCTCACTTACTACAATTCTTACAGAAAGATGAACGAAGTTAAGAAACGTCCAATTAGAGAGAATCGTTTGAGTGGAAAACTTTCGACGCTGTCTCTCAAAATTGATTTTAATGAGTGTCGAATATTTTTGTGAACTTCCATAACATATAGATCATCTGACAACTTCATTTTATGTTGATCATTTGCAAACATCTTTATTTGAGAAGAGTGTATGTGGACAATATTAAACGAATTAATTGTTCAGTAAGATAAGCAGACATTAATAAAATGCCAAATATTGGTCACAAAAAACGATCATGTTATATGTGACTGCAAATTGTTGAAACATGGATTTGTATCTAATAATTCATTAACCCTCAAATCAATTTGAGTGTCCCTCGGGTTGCTCATGGACACCGTGCTATCTTTCCGTGGAGCGATCCCGGGTTCTATTCCCGGGGGCCCAAATGCAACTGTAACTTTCTATTACATAGCATCTCAGTTTATGTTGAGTGACGAAAGAAAAAGCACACGCATCCCAAGTTAGCTAGATTCGGTGATGAGAATACGTCAGGCTCACTACGTGTCTGCCTTAATCCCAGGCATGGACAATACATGAACACAGGGAATACCGCCTGGGAACACCGTGAAAAGTCGGATTATGCCGACCCTGAAATGCCAAAAATGTACTACATTAATTTGAGCACCGGTTACTAAAATATTGGTAATAGATGCGCCAAATTTCCAAATCCCATAAATGGATGTTCGTGTTTAAAGTCTTTAACAGTTTTTCTTCCTAATAGCGTTCACTAGATATCTGATTAGAAAATTTATATTTAAAGCTTTTCGAAATTCAATGAGCCTAATTATTTGGGTATTTAATTTCGGATGGAATAAATCAATTCCTTTGAAATTTGGAACGATATGAGGGGTGTGTTCTAGTGAATATTCATCTACAGTGAATCTCGCGAAATGTAGTGGTATTTTTAGTGCCAAAAAGGTGGGTCAGATCTACTTAGCATCTGTCCATGGCCTATATTAAACATTCACTCATACCTTCTCATTTTTGGCATCGTATTTAACTCAAGAACACATGAATTCAGGCTGATGAGGCTAAACGTTTTAAACCTTTTCTATATGATTATATACAATTACATAGCAGCACAATGTAAATGGAAAGACAACAATTTGATTTCAAGGATATTCACTATTTGAAGAACATAATTCGATGTCGATTTTTCATTGTTTACGAGATAGATGTTCTCATTTGATGCTCTTTTACTCCATCCCATCTTCTTGTGGTATTCGTTACCCTAGATTCACAACCTATGTTTGTTTGCGCATATTCACAACGAGGAGTCATTTTCACTTCCACATCAAATCTGACTACAAATATGAATTTTTAAGATATAAAAAAATGAAAATTCTATTTTACGAACCACTTATTTATGTAAATGTCTTTAACAATACAAAAACTTAGAATATTCAAGATTAATAGATAAAACCTACTAAATTAGCTGACCAAACGTTTGAAAGCTCACTTCAAATTTCAGTTCATCTCCTCCCGGGCAATCCGGGACTAGAACATCTGAGTCTGACAAAATTTCTTCCTCCTCAAGATCATCATCAACATCAGAAAAAAGTCATCTTCTTCCCATAATTTGGAAATTTTGTCTTCATCCACGAATCTATATATATTTTGCACTGCCTTTAAAGATATTACGAATTAACCAATAAGGAGTCAAAATGACTCCCAGAATCTTACATAGCGTTATAAAAAGAATGGGATCATAGAAAATCGCGACTAATCTGTACAAAAACGCATGGATAAGTAATAATCGAAGCACTGCCTATTCGTCACCGCTTGACTTTCTCGCAATAATGAATAGCAAACATTTCAATTACGACGGGAGTCAAAATGACTCCTGGTTGTGAATCTAGAGTTAATGCAAAGATTGTTTACTCTGCGTATTGGTTTTACTTTTATTTCTTGAATCGTATACCTGTACTCTCAAAATACAATTGTTGATGTAGAACACTGCGTTGGCTTGCGACTGTATTAACTCAAGGTAAATTTTTCCTAACGCTGAAATTTCACATAACATTTCAATGAACATGTTGGTCCCACTGTCTGCCGGAACGAACGCTAAATCCAAGGCAAACCTGTTGCTCGTCAACTCACCCCCAAGGCGAAGTTCAGCCGCTCCCTGCGCCATTTCCGCCTCGTTCTTGACGAAGCACTGGTACATCCCCCGGTCCTCCTTGGCGACGGACACGATGTGCACGTGGTCCTTGGACAGCAGGCGCACGCGCGCGCCCGTGCGCAGCGGCTGGCCGTCCTTGAGCCAGGTGACGGTGCCGTGCGGAAAGCCCGACACGGAGCACGTGAGGTCGGCGCTTTTGCCCAAGTCCACGGTCTGCCGGCTCGGGTGCACGTGCACTTGCAGGGGGGCCACCACATTCAGTTGCAGCTCCAGCACCTCGCTGCCTTCGTTGTTGCTGGCGTTGCAGTAATACGAGCCGGCGTCCGACTCTTTCACGTTGGGGATCACCAGGGTGCCGTCGCGGACACCGTACCGTTCCAGCTCGTCCAGTGATTTCTCTTGATTCTTCTCGCGAAAGAACCATCTGGAATGTGTGGAAAGGGAATTAGTGAGCGACGTGTGAAGAAGCAATTGTTAATGAATGCGCCATACAAACGTGATGCAGTAACTTGTTCCTGGGAAGAAAGGTGAAACTACTGTTTTAAGTGAAATTACTATTAAAATTGAAGATGGTTACATTATCAATAAACCGTTTGAATAATCAATGATTCCAAAAGTTTGAAATTATTTGCACGTCTTCCTACAAAAATTGAATTGAAAATAGATATTTTTCGTAACGAAATATATTGTTAAATATTAGATGTTTAAATAACGTCATATACAATGATTTCAAAATATGAGTAGTTTTCGCGTATTTTTGAGCAAAATCTAGAAATTAAAAAAAATATACATTCACACAAAATTTTCTTAAAAACTGCTTCAAATATGTTTTTTAAATCGTTTGCTCAGATAAGTTCAATTCGCTAAATAATATGACAGGACGTACTTTCCATCCAACAAACTGCAATTTTGAAAATTGCAAAAGTATATATGTTTTTACTCTGTTTATAATCTTGAATATTGAAGCTATAGTCGTATTTCTTATTACAATATATTTCGCATTATTGGAACAATTCATTACACTTTTTTAAAATAGTTTTTTCGTAATTTTCAGTTACAATGCACAACAATCATCGGGATATTACAAGGTCATTGTAGCACGATAAAACAGATTTCCTCGCTATCAGATTCCTGCAACGGGTAGTGTGCGAGTTTGTATTCTGCAACGCTTGGTTGCAAATCCCAGCATGTGAAAATATTTTTTGTTTCTTCTTTAAACGATTTGTATGAATAGAGCAAAATAGACTCAATTCAACGGAAGTTTGTCATTTTAATTAAAATGTTTAAAATTTAAAAATAAAGATATACTTTGTTTTCGAATCCTTTACACTCCGTTTTGTTAAAAGCTTTTCAAGTGATGGAGGGATTAGAAAAAAAAGAAGAAGAAAGAAAGTCAAAAGAAAGAAAAATAGAAGAAAAATAAGAAATATATAACTGTCGATTTGGCTGAATAAAGTATACTATGTATTCACACAACGAATCGTAAGTTCAGTACATTTTTATTTCTCGCTTATGAAGCCCCAGCACAACGAGACCCCCCCCCCCAAGCTATAATTAACACATTAAAGATGAAACGATCGTACAAATATTTTCACAGATACGCTTTCGTACACTCTGTAACTTACGTTACTTACACCAAGAAGTAATATTAAAAAAAAGAAAACAAGCAAGAGAGGGCACGTAATAAGACGTGGCACAGCCACAGAGTGGTGTATTCAGTTCCGTCGCCCCACCAGACGGAGAGCCGACGCTGCCCCGCCGGGGGAGAGAGTGCGTCGCGTGGTATGGCGTGGCGTGGCGTGGCTTCCCGAGATCGACAGCGGCACGCGGCGCCGCCTCCCCGGGCGCCCAGGAGCCGCGAGGGGAGCCGCCGCCGCTCCGCCGCCGCTCCGCCGCCCCCTCCCCCCGGCGTAACTCGAGCGGCCCAGATCGGCGGTGGGAAGTGCCTCCGTCGCTGACACAGCCGTGGCGGGCTCTGGCGGGCCGGAGCCGCCCGAGCCAATCGGGTGGGAGAGGCAGCTCCTTCCAGAGGTGGCAGGCACCCGGAATTGCCGGTGGAAAAGAGAGTCTAGTTTGCTCTGCAGAGGTAAAGCGTACTGATTACGAATTCGAAGTGATTTGTCAAAATTTGAAGTCAGCTATTTAAGGATTTATTTTGGTGGAAGAGAGAAGAATGCCACCTATATTGCCAAAGGTCACTTGAAAGTTTTATGACAATATAATATCTCACGCACGAATTTAAAAAACGCATAATTTATTAACAATATTAGCAGTACTTCAAATAATTTCATTATAGTTGGAATAAACCATAAATTATCTAAAGTTATTTAAACATTTTACTCTTAGTTTGCTTATCTTCTGTGATATATATTTCTTGACTTTCTAAACGAACCCCAATGTTCATTAGGATGAACTGAATATGCGGAAAATAGATGAAAGAACTTTTACTAAAATACATATTTTGGGAGTTCCTGATACAAAGGAAGTTTCTTTTTTTAAAAAATGTCTGTTCGTCTGTCTGGGAAAGACACTTACGCCCAAATGGTGTACAGGATTTCACCGAAATGAATATTGTCCAAACGATCTGATTAATGTCGTAGTCTCTCGATTTAGAAACCGATTTTTAATGGGGGGATATTTTAAATGAAGTTCCTAGTAAATTTTCAAAATATACTCAAATATTGTTCCCAACTTTTTCATTATTGTTTTGCTCGATTAGAGCAGAAAAGGTTTTTAAAAATGACGTACTTTCTGTTTTCTGTAAAGCCTATGAAATTTCAGAAAATGCAAGTCTTGGAAAATTATCAATTCGAACCTGCCGTGCCCCATTTTTTTCAATCTATATAATTAGTAGAATAAAGAAAGCAATATTTATATTACGTAATCATTACAAAAATACGAGAAATACGTTTGTGCTGTTTACCTTAACTAGTTTTCTTTATTTGACGGTTGAACACATAGTGAATTAGTGCAGAGTAATTATGGTTGAAACAGCATTACATGTATCAGAATGGAATACGTAATCACATTAGGAGACTGATCATGCAATTCGTAAATTTGAATAGTAGTTAGTTAGTACTATTTATCTATATATAATTCCGGTAGTGGGGTAAAATTGTTACAGAGTCATAGCGCCTACAAAGCTGCAAAATCTTTAATATGATTCGCTATCAAGTTTATATCTCGAAAAAACTAATACATTTTCTGAAAAACTTATATTCAGGATTGACTAAACCCAAATTTTACACGCAAAAGGATCATAGAGCTCTTCACCCTGTTATTCAATTAACTGTTGCTTGATGCCACTGCCTTATTTCTTTATTTACTTAAAAAATACTCCATTACGCAATACATTTTTCGGTGGTTGAAAAAGTATTGTCTCTAGAATTTCACATTTCACGTGTGGTATCGCATTTTCACATTTCAAAAGATTACATTGAGCAAGAAATGTTTTTCCCTTATTCAATAATACCACCTGTAGCAGTTGACTATACAAACCGTTGACAGAAAGAAAATATAGTAAAAGGGGAAGAAGTACAATTAAGTAATTAGATGGAACAATAATATTTTCGACGTAGTTTTCACGCACGTTTCATGAGCAAGCAAGGTCTGTGCTTAGAATACTACATTAAAGTAGTAAAAACATGTTAAAAAGTTAATAAACGACTATTTTCTGATTATTTGCTTCCGAAAATGAAACAATTCAACCTGATAATCGTGGCGTTTATATTATATAAATTTCTGGCATACTAGTGATTTGCAGGGGAAAAAATAATTCTGAATAAAACAGAACGAAAGGTGTTTTCAAAAAGTGGCACGCACACTATTCAAGAACAGAAAATAACATTTTGCCGTATAACACATCAATAAATTAATATTTTTTGATGCGTTTTTTTGAAAAAAAAAATGTTGAAACAAATTAAAAATTTCCCTTTATTTTGCACAAAATTAAACAGGATTTCGAAAAATTGAACATAGTCCTATTTCAAGATCTGTATTTGAAGAACAGATTGAAGGAAAGAAATATCTATCTTCAATATGATATTTGTGACGACGATAAAAAATTGCATTCTTGCAATTTTCCATAACCTAGGATTTCAGCAAACGTGAGATCTGCACCATGTCTTGTACGCTTTCCCAAGACAAAATTAATAAAAAAAATCGGTGTTAATTTTGAACAATTTTAGAAATTGTTTTTGAGGCGTCATGTAAAGTAGCCTCAAAAAAATGAAAATATCCGGTTGAAACTTCTAAAGCCTTCAATTCGTACTGATCGATCGGGGAATATCAATTTTCGAAAATCGCCTGAACTTTTTAGGTGCTAGCATTACACACAGAGACGGACAAGTAGATAGACGTTTCAATCATCAATCGATTTTTCGGTATCAAGGACTCACGAAACATGGATTCTGGCTACACCACGTGTTAGAGGAAGTAATTTACTGTGTATAGAAAAAGGATTTATCCACTTTTTCCTTTTACCAGGTCCCGTTAATAAGAGTTTTTCTGTCAAATTTTCGCGGTTTTCCGGCACACGATAACATAATTTTCTTTTCTTACAAAGAAAGTGCGAGAAAGTAAAAATAATTGCAACTATTTTTTACAGTTTTAAGTAAAATACTAGATGGTACATTTTTGTAGATGTGACAGCAACGTAAATACCTCTAAACGCGTGTTGCAAAAAATTACATTTTTCGACTAACGTAATCGACTGCCCACAAAGACGTTAATGATATTAAATGTTCTTATTTCTATTCTAATTTTTTTACCTAGTCTGAGACAGCTGGTATGTGATACGAATCTTCGAAAAAAATTCCGCATGCTCAGGTTGTTCTACCTAAACAATTTGACAAGTTTTGTTTATGAAAGTTATGTTGTTTAAAGCAATTAAACTTCGAATAATATTCGACTATTCGCACGCATTTTTCACGACTCCGGCATGGAAATTAGGTTTTTCTATCGTGAAGAAATTTATGGATAGAATATTCTTCTCCACTAGGAGGGACTTTTCATTTTTCTTACTTACTTTCTTTGATAATCTCTTCTTGTAAGAAGAGATTATGAAGGAAGAAAGGAAGTTTCCTGGCAGTGACGTTCTTGAGCTCAACCAGACGAGTGATTGCTGCACGTCCACAAGAATTGAAATTAACTAATGGTTTGAAGGAGAAAAAATATCTATTTGGCTACATTAAAAAAGCTCATAAAATAATTTTTTGGTTTCCAATAAAGATTTAAATGAGATCAGGTCTTTTCATACCATTCTTTCACGTTGTACAGATTAATTAGTT